CTGATGAGGCGCTAGGGTCTGTTGCGGGTGGCGGAGGGGACGGAATGCTTGTGTATATATGTTGTTGGGGGCTTTGCAACTTGTAGTGGTGGTGGGGGTGGAGTCTGCAGTGTTAATGATGGTGAAGTGGAGGTAGAGGTTGTGTGGTAGAGGGATGGGGGTTTTGGGTGGGAGGTTGATTTTTCATTAGATAGTTGCTTTGACTTTCTCAATGGTGAGGAACTTGAATTCAGAGGTTTTTTTGTCCTAGCCATGTAGAAGAATTCGCATGGTCAAGAACGATGACGATATGCTCCTCTGTCGGTATACCGGTACATCATACGGTAGGGCAAAACTACCTAGACTACCACCTTTCACAACGACCCATCCCAACACCCACACCCACACCCACACCCATCACTCCTACCCCTCTCCACACCAAGACCAGCTGGCAGCAGTAAACTTGTCATGTACCTCCTACCCACCTCCAACCCCACTCTCCACCCCCCATCGGCACAAAAAGCGGCAACCGCCTCTCCCCGCCCCGTGCAGCGGCAACGGCAGGCCTTGCCTACCTGCAAACCCGTTCCGCGATCCACGATGCAGCCCAGGCAGGTCTTGAAATGGCGTCCTCACCCTACCATACCGTTACCTACCATGCACCATCCTATATAGATGCCCAACGGCGCAAGACGCACCACGCACGACACGCGCTAGTACGTACGGTACCTATCTGCGGTAACGGGCAGAGGGTGGCTGAGGTGAGGATTCAAAGACCGCGGCATTGGCGGTGGGCGGTTGGGTTGGCGTGGTTGGCGGTCGTGCTGTACCTATGGGGTAGGTAGGCCGGCCGGTAAAGGGGGTGGAAAGGGAATTTGGGTAAGGTCAAGTCGAGGACCTTGTATGGTCATGTCTGTGTATGGGGAGTTTGGGAGAGGTTCTTGGGGGGGGAGGGGGGGGAGGGTGTTTTGGTGTGGTTAGGGTGGGTTTTGGCCCTGTTGGGCGTTGGAGTAAGGTAGGTACCTGTGTCGTGTCGTGTTGTGTCGTGTGTATGTATGCGAAGGCGCCGTTGCGCATGTACCTGTGCACCAGGTACGTAGCTATTGTACACTAGGTAGGGTTCGCGGAACGGAAGCCTTGTTTCCCTGACGGGGGGGGGCCATGATCCTGGTTATATGCAGGTGAGCGCTGGGCATGTACTGTGTATGTACGGTCTCGTATGCGTTGCAGGGTGTGCGTTGTGTTGTGATTGTCTTGACGTTGCTCATTGATGCCGCCGGAAGGATTCGATTCCTACGGGAAAGCCCTGAACCGTGTGTAGGTAGGTACTTATCGCGGGTTTACGCCGGCTCGGATCGCTTGGGCTCGAGGCGAGGCGAGGATGCCTGGTGAATAGCGACAGCTCAACGTACATGGCATAATACACCATGTACAGTATGTGCTTGTCGCGTGTTGGGACATCTTGGCGTGGATCCATCGTGTTCGAATCGTTAAGGTTAGGTGGTGCGAGATCTTGGGATGCGTCTGACGTGGGCGTGTATCGGTACGTTTTCTTCGCCGTCTACGAGGAAGGTTGTCCATTGCGTTTGAAGAGCTCTTGACTCGGAGAGGAAGTGGGATTGTGGGTGCCGGGTCTTTACTCATCAGCGTTGGAGAGTTTGGGTGGGCCTGTCTCATTCTTGTTGGGCACCATTCACAATGCCTCCTGGATGTAGGTAGAATGGGATTGTCTCGTGCAGGCGATTTGGATGGGCATCACTTCTATCTGATCTCTAGCCCCGGCACTAACTTCCATTCAGGGCTGACTGAGATTTTGGTGTCTCAGAGCTCAAATATATTATCCACTGGATCTGGAATATTGTTGTCGAATCTTCCAAGTAGCTTTCATCAGACGTCTAGAACTATTCTTTAGTCTCATGATGTATAGACCCTCGTCTACTAGGATACTCAATATGCGTAGTCATAGACGATAAAGCCCGGTTTGGCTGTGTGTCCACACCACTGACAAGGACGACGTGCTTCAACAACTCCACTTCTTTCGGCGTATTATAAATAATGCAGCCAGCAAGGAGCTCGGCTCAAATCTGTCGTAGTCGATATCGAGGGTAGGCGGCACCTAAATCCTTCCCATCGAGATTGGATGAGGGCGATTCTGCAGCCCGGGAGGATGCCGCGTATAGTGCAGTGTTCTGCAAGCCGAGCATTCCTTTACGACAGGATCAGCTTAGCTGATGGTACAGTAACTGTGCATTGCAGGTAAGATGGACCGAAGCTGTAACTGCTTCATGCCCTCTGGCCACGAAGCACTGCAGAAAGTTCTGCCAGCCCCCGAGGGTGCGCGTGAGATCCGACTACTTCTTAACTGCCCGACAGCTTAAAAACTCTTGGTGTCTTTGGAACTGAACTTTTTATTGGAGATGGAAGGACTGTTGGGGCATTGACTGCTGTCCTGTTATCTCTGTCGGTAGGTCTCACATCCGTCTCAGTGCCTTTTTCCCAGTCTTGCTCCACGCCAAACGCAGCTTGCCCCTCTACCTTCGTACCGTTGGGCCCAATGAGTGCCTTATCGAATTTCTGGGTTCCCGTATGCTTTCAGAGAGCCCACAAGTCTTGTGGACGCTTGGCTTTCAGTGATGAAGATCCAGACCAAATTTTGGACCAAATTGAGACGTTGATGATTTGTAATGAAGTGGACGGGTATAGAAGCGCTTAACGTGTCTATATATATGCACTCTAGCGCACATTACAACTAAATGCAGCCTTTGCAAGCGGAGCTGTGCATATTGAATGGAAGAAGAAGTGACTTGAGCAACAACGAGGCCCAAATATTTTCCGAGATCCGCAAATTGGCTGCCTGGAGGTGTAAAAGAGGGCTTGAGACCGAAGTGCTCGACGGCTCATGCTTCATCGATGGGCAATCGATACGTTAGCTGATTCATTCACAGTAGTGCCATAGAGGGCGTAGTCTGCCTTCTTTGTGATGCGAGTGCCTTCAGCAGCGCTGTGGTGGAAGCACCTGCCAATTACACATTGCACACGTCTCAGCTGGCGATTCGCAGCGAACAGATTGTCTTATCGAATGAGGACTAAATCCCTTTGTTCGCAGCTCTTGTGTGCTGAATCCAGACAGCAATCAGCATATTCCAAAAGAGAGTGAAATGATTTAATTGCCTTGGGCCACCTCGCACCTGATGTCACCAAACATGAGCGTACGGCCATAGGTATGATTTCTGAAATGAACGATGCTGCTTAAGGTATGGTGCTACTATATCTCCTGAGGTCTTGGGGGCTTACACGACTCACTGTGGCCCGGGCAATATTTCGACGGTCGATTCTGCACCCTTTGATCCGATCACAGTCACATGCGTCCTCATGATCATGTATGCAAGCGCGAAGGACGGATCATTTGGCAGTCGAAAAGATATCGCAAGAAGACATGTCGTGGCGGCAGTTACAAACAAGTTGTTCTGCACTTTCCGTGATCCTTAGCGCATGATAATGTCATTCGTACACTAGAATTCCTCCACGCAACCAGTCTCTGTCACTTCAACACCACGCAGAATTTTCACTCACGGTACATTTTATGGCAACACATCCTGCAGACGTCTTATTACCTTTACATTGCACGACTTCGCTCCAGTTCCCATCACTCTATGCCTCTGGGTGGCTTCAGACTTCACGACCTGCATAAGAAACAAATGAAAGAAAGAGGATGCCGGGGACCGTCAGACTATGACCAGTCATCGGTGGCTGTCGGCGTTGCCAGGGAGAAATGGGCTCAGTTCCTCAGCACCATTGAAACACAGGATACTCCCGGACGGGCCTTCGGGTTGACGCCTGGTCAAGGGTCACGGGACTGGTAGTAACCCACGGAGCGAGGAGTTTGTACGCGATCTTGTACTCGGTCAAGAGGCTGATACATGTCCTGCGGCTGGACCTTCCGAAATCGGGTTCAACCATGGCAAGGAAACTGCTCCTCTCCCTGGACCAAGTCCAGTACCAGCAATACCCTCGCCCCCCGTGTCGATGCCTGGTCGCTGGTCCCGATCATCCTCCGCCAGCAGTGGCCAGTCGTGGCGCACTGCCACCCCATCTCTGCCCACATCTACATCTCCACGACTTGGCCAGAAGCCAGGGTACGGCGTCCTGGGGCTTGGAAGTGTCTTGCACCTTCCAGACTATGTATTTGACAAGAGCTCAATCATCTTTGGGCAGCTTCTGCACGGGGACCATCCATTTGGTCACCCCATAGTAGTCAGCGGGAAGTGGGTGGAAGGGGGCGTAGAGTACGTGAAGATGCGTATCTGCACCACGTTCGGTGGGCATCACATCATGGACTCCGAGGACACCCGATTGATGCGGTTGTACGAGGCGAGTCGCGCCAGCCCTCTCTGGGTGGGCGTTGCCCTATTTATCCTCACGAGATAGCCAGCTAGAGGGGACAGACCTACACCAATGGATGCAAGACCATCACACCTGTGCCCCGTACCCAGTCTCACCCGTACCAATATCAAGCGACGAGAACCCGCTGTATGAGATCGAATGACTTTTGTCTCGACGAGTGAACAAGCACTCTGGCGGTCTCAAGTATTTGGTCCAGTGGAGGGGCTGGGGAAATATGCACAACGTCTGGTACGTTCAGACCTGTCTGGCTCTAGAGTGTTGATACAAGAGTACGACGAATCTCGATTCCTTGACCAGTTCGTGCTTCTGGAGAACGATGGGGACAACGTCGCTCATGATAGCGGCGCTCCTTCTCCATGCTGGAGTGGAGGGGGAGGAGGCTGTAATCGAGGACTTTCTCCATGAGCAAGTGGTAGTGGTGGCCAATGATGAGGAAATGGCATTAAATGATTGAGTGTGATGAGTTATGCAGCTTTGGTACGCTGATATGGGAATAGAGGAGAGACGGGATGGCTTTTATAATCTTTCAGAAGACAAGACAGTTCTCTAGATCACTTTTGATTTTCTGGTTGTATCTTACTATGCATTTGGTGCCATCGATTTGGTGATGATGTGTATCCATGAGTGGGACATTGTGATATGCATATATGCACCCCATAGCCTGGAACTAGTCGACATACTGTCCTTGTGGACATGCACAACATCACACTAGATGTTCCGCTGTACAATCTCCAAACAGTACTGGACCGCGTATCTTGAACCACCAATGCGCAGAACGGCTTCGCGGACAGCATACCATACAAGAGCAAGGAAAATGAGCCTGATCATGATCTCGTATGAGCTTGTCATGCAGAATCAGAGGAAGAGGCGGGAACAGTGTTCATGGCGGATGGATTTGTCTAAATTGCATGCAGTATGCACTACAACGATGCAGATTTAGCAATGGATACTGCATCTCTGGGGTTCATGAGTCAATAAGCATCACAATGTCAATTTCGGTCCATTTCAGACTGCTAAGAATCCAAATTCCAGACCTCTCAAAGCACCTCCCAGCCACCTACAAGATGCCAAAACATCTTTAAAACGTGCCGGATCCTGGAAGCTTATCTCCGATCCGGGGAATACCGTTGAGCTGGAAAGGACATCTGGTGCAAACAATCAAGTCTAACGCGGTGGTTTGGAATGATGCCAAAAGCCACTACCAAATAGGATCACAGTGACCGTTATAATCCACTAATCATGCATGCTCATGTGCGGATCTCAAGTACAACATACAAGCGAAGTTACAACAAAGGGGAACGGCAGCAGGCGCGTCGGTATCAGAGGTCCATCGCTCCTCTTCCTGCAACTCATATCCGCCTAGGCTCTCCCCGCCGCCGCAGAACCAAATCGCTTCTCCCACCTTCTCTCACCAGATACACCGCACTTGCCCGACCCCTCATACAGCAGCGCGTACCATCCATCCATCACACTACCAATAATCGCCTCCCTTTTTTCTCTCAAAGCTTCCACACATACGCTGGCTGTACCTAGCCAATCGACATGCCGCACCCATACCAAAGAAACAGCCCACGAACGCACAGCCTCGATCCAAGAACCTCCTCCCCCCCAATCCAATGTTTCCAGCCACACAGAACCTCGGTGCAAACATAGCGCGAACATACCCGAACCCAATCATCATGTCCAACAGGGCGAAACAGAGACTCCGCTTTGAGTCACACCATGGACAGGTGAGCTTGGTTATACACAAGGGTGCGGAGAAGTGCGACTGGGTGTGTATAGCTGGGTTGGATGAGTGGGGAGATGGGCTGGTGTGAGATTGAGGTTGAGATTGATGTCAACATGAATAGTTATCAACAATGATAATCATAAACAAGACAACCACCAAGTAAGACTCTAGACAACAGTCGCAAACACATGACTTTCCCAACCCAATCCGTCGCCATCTGTTGCAAAATGCCAAAACGGGGCAGAGTTTCTTTTCTCCTTTCTCGCGCGATAAGTTTTTTTTTTGGAAAAGAATCATTGTGCGAGGAAATTTATGTTGTCTTGGGAAAAAAGGGGGATAGGAAATGATTGAGCGTTGAAGCAAAACCGAGAAGAACAAAAGAAAAAAAAAATTCAATGAATGGACAAGAGCAAAAAGATGAAGATTTCGCGTGTACAAGGGACCTGAGAAGGTGTGCGTAGTTCAAGAAAACAAAAGATACTCGGCGACAACGTACTGTAAATTCCATTTTGTATACATGTATAGTGGTATAACAATTATACATTCTCTCCTTTTCACCTGCTACTCCCCCTCTCGCAACTCCCCACCCGTTTCAATACCCTACACATCCACCCTCACCGGCTCTCTCAAACTCTTGTTCGCTCTCTACAAAGCGACGGCGACGAATCCAGCCAAGATGGCAGCAACACCCATCTCCAAGCGACTAGCAGCGCCGGCTTGCCCGGGGACATCGCCGGTGGAAGTACCAGTCGCAGCGCCGCCGGGGGGAGCAGCAGGGCCACCGGTGACGGTGGGAACGGTCGAGTTACCGCCGCTGCCGGTTGGGTAGATGCCTGCGCTCGCGGTGCCGGCGGCGTGGGCGCCGGATCCTGTCTTGGAGGGAGATGGGGACTTGGAGGCGGTGTCTGTTTACAGAGTTTAGTAGGTGTTTAGCGCGACATGGTATGATTATCATGAAGGATTGTCGATGTGGTTCGGACCAGATGGAATCGTAGCTGACGGGAGGTGTTTTACATACCAACTTTGACGCCCTTTTCCTTGCAGATATCGGCCATGGCGCTCATGGCGGCAGACGCATCGTCACCGCAGATCTTCTCAATCTTGCTGCTGAGATCCTTGTCCTTGCAGACGGCCTCGATGTCCGCCGGGTCCTCGTAGGAGTTGACAGCGCCGAGGAGGCAGCCCGGAGGCGAAGCGACAGCGAACTGAGCGAGGGCGACAAAAGTCGCGGCGAAGATGGTCTTGGCGTGCATTCTGATGGAAGTGTTGGGTATTAAAATAAAAGATAAGCAGGTTTGGGGAGAGGTGTCCGTTGGAGGTGGTTGGATCGCGTAGGCGGCGCAAGGGGGGATCAGACACGGGTTTGATTGTAGAGGGACCGTGGAGGGAACGTATCGTGTGTTGGAATTAATGAGCGTCGGACTAGTACTGCTAACGAGTGACAGGCAAAGTAAAGAATCACAACGAAGGTGCGGTTGCTCGTTGATGAGGGAGAAGTGGTCTCGAAGAGGCGTTCCAAAGGGGCTGATTGACGACGCTAGCCAAGAAACGTGCACGCTTATCCAAGATAAGCAGCGCTACCGACTAGTCAGGTACATAAATAGAGCATCATCGTGATTGGCAACGTACCTGCATAATGTTTACATGTTATCGTCAAGGTTGTGAAACATGCATGCTGTATAATGCGAATGCATGAATCATCACGTGCACGTGGGAATCTGTTTTCATCACCCCCCAATCAAAATGCTACCATGGCAGTAGAGAAAACAAAGTGCATCTTATTCAACGTTCCCACCATTTGCTTTTTCTTCCCCATATCCAATGTAATACAATGATAGCAATTCAACCCCCCCCCCCAAAAAAAAGCGGCATATGACCCAAGCAGCAGTAAACCATGGAACGAGTGAATCGAGAAAAGTCGCATTACAATAATGTAATTGCAAAACCAAATGCACGCCTTTTCAACTCTCCATCGAGCAAAGACGGAGCCGGCCATGTCAAGATTCGAACGAGGCTCGTAATTCGACTTTCCAACCACCCACCCATCCGATGTGATGCAAGATGGCAGACAGATTGGTTGTATCCAAGAATCCAACCTGAGCCCGCCCAGTGGATGACGTGACCGATAACGTGGTGTGTACGCCGTAAACTCCGTCGCTAGAATGATTCAAGTAATAGGAAATAGACGAGGATTGTAGGAGAGATAAGCGAGTGGAGGCATGGAGTTCGGGTCGTCGTGTGAGAAGCGTGAATAGCGGATAGGAGAGAGGTCATCATTGTTAGACTTCGGTGTTTGTGGTGCCATTCGGTCCGAGCATGGAAGGAATGGGCTTTCGGCGAGCGTTGGCCGCCGGAATTCGAGGTACGCCCTGGATGACCCGGGGCTCTTTCATGAGTGTAGGGTCAAGCTTGGCAGGAACTTGGAAACGGTGAGTGACATTCGACTTGGGTGAATTGGGAAACTTACTGCGGCTTATGATTGTACGGTAATCGCCGGGAAAACGAGAGTTGGGTGGGGTTGCAGATGCTGTACGCCACAGATGATCGGTTGTATCGGAGAGAAAATCGGCTCTCTGTCTGGAGAAAAAGGACGATTTTCCGCGGTTCCGTTTGGCGAGAATGACTTCGTCAAAGAGCTTGATCTTGGGATCATCCGCGCGAATCGTCTCGCGTTCATGGATGAACTCGTTGAAAGCTTGCGTCTCTTGTAGCGAGGTGATGAATGGCACGTTTTCGCTGGGTAAACTCTTGACGAACTCATCCATCTTGAACTGGTAGAGCATCCCAGCCTTCTTGCGGTCACCAGTTGCGGGTATAAGATAGCGGCGGTACGTGTAAAGCAAGCTAGCAAAACATCGTACAAAGGACGCCCGGACTTGATCCGGCCGAAAGGCCGTCGGACAGACGACGGCAATGGATGACATACATCTCCCATGGGCGTATGTAGTGCAACCTAGACTCTGTTAACAAAACAAAAACTTTTCCTAAACCATATGTTGACTCACCAGTGCAGCGATAGAGCCCTTCGTCAGACTTCTCGTCACAGATGGAGCATGACGCTTTGTCCTCGTGGGGTCTCCACTGCAAGCAATGGCCCTCCTGCCATTGTGTAGTTGCAGTGTTGCGCACAGGCTGCATCGCCATACCAGGCATGATCGTGGATGCGGCCAAGGTCGACTGTGCGTATACTGAGGGCGCATAGGAAGAACCGACGTGTATTTCATGGCTCAATGAAGATGTCGATGCGCTGGGCGCGTGGCCAAGGAATGGCTGAGAGGGTCGTCGTAGTTGTGGTACACGTTCGAAGCCAAACTAACAATATTAGTATACAAGCCAATCAAAGCGAGCTGACAGACTTACAGAAGAACTCCGGCGACTAGAGGTCTCAAAATGTCCAGATCGCTTCTCACGGAGGTCTCGGAGATTCGCCTGTAGGGCATATCCTGAGTCACTACGGGAAATCGGTGTACTAGGCATCGGAGGGAAAACCGTGGAAACCGGGGAAATCTTAGGAGAAGGCGGGGAGTTCGAAAATGTTCTTACAGTATTGGCTGTCGATGGTCGATCATTACCACGGCTGGAGGCGCTTGATTGTAGAAACGCGTTATGGATCAGTGGTCGAGCGCTGGCAGGCCCGACTACAGAGCCGAATGACGTCGAATTCAGACCGACATAAGTATGGACAGTCGATGGAAATGCTCGATGGCTGAACACACCGGGATTCTCGCTGCTGAAGGTGTTGTGAGGAAATGCTTCCATGGCATAGGCAGGAGGTCCAGTCTGCACACCATAACGAGCATGATGAGGAGCTGATTGCTGTAAGAGTGCAGTAAGCTTCCGTCGCACTTGACGAGGCAGTTGTGGAGGTGGCGGGCCATTGGAAACAATCGAGTTCTGGTCCAGATCGACGAGAACGTAGTCATCTTCGGGGTAGTCCGCAGGCTCGTACCTCCTTTCGATACCTACAATATAGGGGCATGGCGCTTCGATTGTCTGTACGAGGCGCGCTGGCAGTACCGGAATGAAGACACCGGTCCATTGGAATGGGTACAGCAAGTTCACAATGGCCAAACTGGCAAGGTGAAGCATTGCTGTGTGGGAAGAAAGGAGGATGATTCTCGACTCTGCAAGCACGAGTTCGAACAAGGTGACGATATTGGGTATCGAAAGCGATCGGAATAGTGCGTAGATGTCGATAGTGCGAGATCCAGGTATCTCGTTGACGGCTTCTTTGCGGGCGTACATGCGCAATTCTCGGACTGCTAATTCGACCTGTGTGATGGAGGTGATCGGACTAAGGGCCTCCGCGCACAAGTTGACCACATACCGCTCGAGCGGCTGCCACATGCCAATTCGTGGTGAACTCGCTGGTACTCGTAAAACCGCGCCGTTAGTCATGGGTACTGTCACAGCCTTGAGCCATTCTTTCCAAAAAGGGGTCAAACTCGCATCCCTGCCCATGACGCCGTATGCACGGGGAATCCATAGTCCAGTTTCGCCATCAGTGAGTCCGTCGATTTTGGATGCCGCTCCGTGTCTTACTGGGCGTAACAGATCGGTCATGAGTTGGATCTTCTCTTCCACGGCTCCAATGTCATCTTCCAGCGCTTCGCGTTCCTCGGACTCAGGGGTCACAGTGGGCAACTTAGTCAGCAGCTGGGACAGTTTCGCTCGCTCCAATGCAAGACGTTCGCCCAGGCTGCTTGCCAGTTCTCGCTCTTCAGGGTTCATGTGCTCTCGGCGCCATTCTTCGCACTGTCGCTCGAGTCCCTCGGCGGCACCAGCGTTCAGGGGAAGCCAGACAATCATGCATATTCCATAGAGCTTGGATCCGTCTCCGTTGGTCATGGCAAAACCATGCCATTGGGACACGGGTCGCTCATCAGACGAGACTACGCTGACATCGTTGGGAAAGGCGAACATTGGTACGTAATCTGGGAACGGGTTTCGGCGCTTCAGCTCCTCGACCATATTCTTCGGAGGATAGCGATCCAAAAGGACTGGCTCGTATCGGCGCAGAAGAGGGTGCATGTCTGGCTCAGGGGCGAATGGCTGCGGTGTAGGGATGACCGAATTGTAACCAGACATGCGTTTCGAAGTTCGTATGGATGCTGTTGCGCGTGTTAGTCGGTCTACTACAACGAAGGCAGGGGATTTGTGTTGTGTGTGTGTGTGTGTGTGTGTGTGTGTAAGAAAGAATAGAAAGTCTTGTATGTGACCTAACAAGGCGAATCACCACCGTGACAAAACTCACAATTGCGTGCCACTGACGATTGCCGTTTCAAGCTGCTCTGCATGGTCGATATACGTCGCCGGATGCTTCCCACTCCAGATCTCAGATTGCCTGTCCCGTCATCGTTGACGGTCTGCGAGACTCGTTGTGGCCTGGGACGTGGTCTGGTAGGCGTCGCGCGGTTGCTTTGCGTAACCCCAGCGGTAAACGACATGTCTTCGAGAAAGGACTCGCGCTCAGAGGCGAACTTGCGTAGTGCAGACTCGAATTCCTGGTCGCTCAGGCCAGATCCACCAACTTGCAGACCTTTGATGGTGGCGCTACTTCGATTGCTCGCCGTGGGCTTGGACTCGTCTCTTCCGACAATGGTGCCAATGGACTGTCTGTTCTCGCTCAGACGCTGTGCGGACCGGCCCCGGCCATTGGGCAGGCCATCGGGCAGGCCATCTTGTGAGGTGGGACGGATTGAATCCGTCTCGAGGGCGCGGTCTTCCTCAATGGTCTCGTCGACGGGAGGTTGGGCGAGCGAAGAGCCACCTGTGCAGTTGGCTTGGGCGCGTTCATCGTAGACCTGCGAGGACTCGATGCCCGATATGAAGAAGTAGTCGGCGAGCGGGATGGAGGAGGCATCGATGGGGGGCATTGGGGCCATGATGAGCGCAGGGCATACACTGTTTTTTTTCTTCTGTTCCCAAAAAGACGTCGATCAGGGTGGGTTTGGGGCGCGCGGTCACAGCGTGGTGGGCGTTCGAGTCGCCTTGTAGCTTAGGTCATTGGGGGACAGGATGCTAGCTCCAACGGTGTTTTGTGTGCCGCAGTGCAGGGCGTTGAGGTTGTACGACGGTGACAGAATGCGGTTGTAGGTTGCACGGGCGCCGCCAGTGGGATGAGACAGACGGGAGCTTAGCCGCAAGCGAGGCTTCTGCGAGGACGCCGCGACTCAGTTGGGACGGGGCCGTTGGTGGTGGAGAAGCTGGTGGGTGGAGGGCGGAGCGTGTGTGGTGTTGTGCGCAATGCTGGGCAGCGCGAGTCGAGTGAGTTGCTGCAAGAGGGCGGGCGTCCAGTTTGGTGGGCGGACGGGGGGGGGGGTGTTCGCCCAGTAGCGGCGGTCAGGTCCTGGCTCTATGATGGGTTCACAGGCAGGGCCCCTCGCAGGAGGAGGGCTGCTGGTTAGACTTTGGTAGGTAGAGTGTGCCGATAGCAAGTGTTAGTAGTGCTGGGCGCAATGGGCTTAGCATGCTACTAAGGTACTTTTTACTCTAGCAAATAGCATGTATGTTCATACGTAGGTTAGGGTCTGTACCGGCACTAGACAAATGTACTAGGTAGGTACTAGGAACTGTATGTACTAAGGCAGGCATGTAGAGTATACTCTTAGGTAGAGCAAGACAGGCTGGCTCTCAGGGCTGCCAGTGCCAGGAGATTCCACGGAACCCACTTGGCAGCGCGTCCCTGGGTTCCCCTCCTGGGTTCCCTTGGCTTCCCTGGCCTCTCTGGCCCACGCCCGCTTGCGACCTTATCGCAGATTCAACAGAGCCTAGTGCATCCATCCCATCCCGCATCTGTCCCCCTCGGCGTGGGGCCCTTGCTCGCTGCGCTTTTTTCGGCTGCTGCTGGCCGCTCTCTGGCCCTGCGGCCGTTATGCAAGGAGCGAAAAGGGACACACACACACACACACACACACACACACACACCCTCGGCCAGGTGGGGAGCTTCCCTGCTGCCCGTCGCGTCTTGTACTTTGTGCTGTTGGATAGGTCCTGTACTTGTAGTAGATCGTAGAGCCGAAGCACGCATAGGCACATGTCTACATGTGTAAATGTCGCTTCTACCAATCTGCACATACAATACAGTACAGCACGGTACAGTACAATACGATACGATACGATACGATACGACACGATACACAATCTGCACCGCCTGCACCGCAATTCGCAAAAAGACGGCCATGGTCTCTCGTCTGCCAGCAACGGAAAGAACGGCAGGGGTATGCCACATGGATTGGGAAGACACCATGCCCTTTGCAGACAGGGCAGCCTGGCTCTGCCCTTTTTTGCATCTTTCGTCAGGGGCAGGGGGGAGAAGGATTGAGGGGAGGGGGGAGGGGGGGAAGAGGGGCAAGACAAGGCGCATGGACGGAGCAACCATCACCACCACCACTACCACCACCACTACCACTAACCACCAGCACAGCCATCATCTCCTCCACCCACCCGTCCAACACAACACAACCTGGAATTTACCCTCGACGCACCCGCCCCGGTGGTGTGCACCACTCTATTATTTACAGCACCGTGTTTCAGATGCAAAGAGCACGAGCACGTCGGTCTTTGCAAATGATCGAGTCTGCTGAGAATAGGGGCATGTTCGTCGAGGCCTGGGCTTTTGTGGCAACTGGCTTGGAAAAAGATTGTGCCCGTATTTTGCGGGGGGGGGGGGGGGGGGGGGGGCGGTGGCCAAGGTCTGAGCATCCTATTTTTTTCGTCTTCGCACCAACACTTCTCCCTTGTCTGTCTGTCTGTCTGCCTGCCTACCTGCCTACATGCTACCTTACCTATCCGCCTCGAAAAGGCTATCCATAGTAGGTACCATGCATAGAACATGGCCATATATAGTACCACAGTAGACATCAGTAGGGAGTTTACCACCCTGTCCGCCCACCTGATTGTCGGTCCTGTACCGCGTGACATATGGCCTGTCAAACTGTCATCAAAGGGGACACCATCTGCTATTTTCCCGCATACACACACACACACACACACACACAACACAGACTGAAATTTCACGCATGCGGCTCGTCTTGCCATGCCGTGCATATGCACGTCTGCGCATCGCCTCTTAGGCGGACATCGGTTATGTGTGTGGGCACCCGCGGCAAGAAGTTTCATGCGATACATATGGGAGGATCCAAGGAACGACTGCATGCGGCCAGGATAAAGACCAAACTGGTCCTGAGTCTGGTGATCCCTTGTCCCAACCTGGACTTGCCTACCTACCTCCAAGACCACCAGGGGCAACTCGTCTTTGCTGCTTGGCCTTGTAATGCGTATGAGACTACCGAAAGTGAAAAAAAAAGGAGAGCTCAGGATGATACTTGCGCACCTATGAGCACTTTTCTCGTATTTGTCCATGCTTGTAGGTACGTATGTACATGCAAAGGACAGTAGCATGCAACCACAACGACGCTCGGTGCTATCAATGGACTGCAAGCGCCGACAAGAAACAGCAACTGAGCCGTGTCTGCGGCGCTTTCGATCAGCAATCTGTTCATCCTCAAGCGCACGCCAGTTCAAATGAGGGCTTGTCGATCATGGAGATAGACCCTTTTAAAGTTCGTAAGCCTGCTGGATGACTGTGTTTTATCTTTGCCAATACTCCGGCCCACTTCAACATCTGGGGTACCTTGCCTTTGCCGTCCCGTCATCTGTCAGACTTGCTATGGGAATCGCTGTGTGACCACGTCTCATCTTTCCTATCTTTAACCGCAGAACCGGTCTCTGGTACACCTCAAGGTTCATCTTGACAGCCCGAGCGGCAGGGAGCTGTCGCGGTCGCATGTCCCATGAAACCATCTTCTGGTTGACTCCGTCGTGCCCATCAGTTAGTCGACGAGAACTCACTCCTCTCTCAATGCTCTTGCAGCTCAGTACTAGCGTTGCTCTCGGACTATAATGATTTGACAACGTACAATTCATACGCTTCTTGCCGTGCCTGTCAATGGCCCCATTTCTCCAGGTTTGCCCTTCTTGTTCAAGTGCTTAGTCTATGTAGAAACATACCGCGTTGCCCTCCAGCTGGTCCAGGTGACAGTAATCTCTTGACTTCCACCTGCATCGTTGGTGTCTCTCGTGAGATTGTCCACGGGACCCTGGACCTTAGCATACCAACGCCAAGAAGCAGCCGTGTAACCAGAATGCTGGTCATGCAGGTACCAGGTGCACGACGTAGCCGTTCTGTGACGCGACGTTGACTGGCACAAACTCTATCGGGTCGTGACATTTCAGCGTCGCGCTGTGAGCCAACCAGTGCTGAGGGAGCCTTGATCACCCAGTGCGCTCCGCCATTGGATCGCTAATTGGCCTATTGGCGTCCGACCCTCCGTCGGACCATCAGTTTTGCTATTGTCGCCATCCCCCCCAGGCTGCTGTTCCAAAAGAAAGGCCACCTGCACCACATCACGAGGACCCAATATGGGTGCATTGTGTTGGCCTGCCCCTAATGGATGCATATCCCAATTTAGCGATATCGATCTCAATGGCGGTTTCGGGTGGACATTGACGGCCTGATAGTCGTCAATTTATAGAAACGGAATGGTTGGGAACATGGGTATATCAGTTGTCGCAGATGCGCGGGACGCCCTCTGCAGATCCCCAGCTGCCGCAGGATCGTTATTTCAGATCGAGCCAGTGTTGAAGGAATGGTGGAAGGAATAGTCGAGCGGAAACGAGTACCCATGACTCACTACACCAGATAGATGAAGGATGGACGGGGTAGCAAAGGGACGTGTCGTAGGACTCCAAAGAGATGAACTTACCTCCAAACAAACTGCAGCCTCTCCCATGTTCTCTAGTTGCGCCTCTAGGAGGTATCTGGACAGGCCCATCTTCTGGCTCATCTCACCAGCTTTGGTTCTTACGCTCAGTAATTGTTGCGCCACAAACTGATAGAGCTTGCGGAACGTCCTCACTCTTCCACTCGCTGCTTTCCCCTCTCCCAGAGCCGTCTCCGTATAGGTCACCGTGACTGCCAGCACGTGATTCCCCTCCTCTTTCAGCTCAAACCGTAGGATCCTCTGTAAAGACTCACTAGGGCCAAGGGAGAGCCCTTCGCTGTCATCTGGGGAGCCGGTAAGATCCAATGGCGACCCTGAAGGGTTTGTAGGCGTTTGCATATCCCCTTGTATCCTGACACCGCTCACTGCTTTGGTCGTATCTGAAGGATCGATTTCATTGTTTGCGCATAGAGTGCAGGCAAACGTCTCGCCCACATATGCACTTCCAAAGGCTTCTGGGAGATTCAGCACTGGACTGAGGATGAACTTGTCGTTTGTGTTATCCTGCGGAGGATAGGCGAGAGAGGCTTTCGGCGAGATGCCCAAATCGTGTGAGTCGGGTAGCGGATGCTGTGTCGCGAGAGTAGGTCGTGACAGTCTATAGCTGAAATCAATACGCAATATGAATTTCTTTTCATAAATTTTTCCAGGGCGCCATTTAGTGTCGAGTTGCTTTACTTCCTGTAGCCTCCATGGCTGTGCCCAGAACAACCATCGGTATGTTCGGAGGCGGCAGTGTTATAGAAGCGTGGATTAACATACCGTAAGACTTTCAGACTCACCGAATGCGGCGACTTCAAGGAGTCTCCCATCGACTGATTACGTTGGTGAGCCATGTGCGACGTCCTTGAAACGATGTCTACAGAGGATGACGAGGCTCAAGCTTCGGTGGGGCAGATCTGACAGCCAGGGTCTCTTTCTCAGCTAGACCTAAAACGAATGGTAGACTTGGTGGGTGAGAAATTTGCCTCCAAGAAGTCGATACTTGCGACATGCTTGTTTTCAAGACGCCTCTATGATGAACTGAATGTTGCCTCTATCGGAAATTATATGGTGCCTTTGACAGGCTCTTCCTTTTTTGTAAAAAAAAAATGCATATCCAATCAGGAACTGACAATATCCCGCTCCAGCGATGCGCCGACCTGGTCATCAAAAGTGATACTCCCAAAGGTACCTTAGAGAACTGTATGACCCGTCTTGTAAACTCCCCATTCTCACAGTGTGTAGGTCGCGGTGTTTTCGCCTCCGCCCCTATTGCCGCCGGGACAATCATAGATATTTGCCCAGTCCTTCTCCTAGGCGTCGAAGAAAATGAAAACTACATCCAGAAGTCTTCGTTATATCACTATACCTACAACTGGCCCACCATAGACGCAATCGGCAAAAGCAGAACCCTCCAAGCGGTAATATTCGGTTTGGGCAGTTTGTTCAACCACTCGACGCAAGAGCAAAATGTGGGTTGGATTCGCGATACAAACCGCCTCATTATTACGTACCGAGCATTGAGAGACATTAATGTTGGCGAGGAACTCTGTAAGTCACATACAAAAAGCCATTTCGTTGGATGCGCTGATGTAAAGTAGGTATATCCTATGGTAGTCGCCTCACATTCAAAGATGCAGACGAACCACCACCTGCACCACCAGAAGAAGAGATGGAGCAACTCCGAATGATAGAGCCTTATTAAGATTTACGAGCTAAACTATAGATACAAGTATGGGAACAGTTGCGGTCCAAAACAAAATCTTCTTGACCCGCGACCAGTGGAGTACAACTTAGATCAAACCAGATCGTAACGCCGAGTCCATTGGCATTGTGATCATTAACGTGATATGAAGGGAAGTTCATGACGCAGCTAGTGGTTCGCTGGCTGCTTCACTTTGGGGGGTGGCTTCAGCGGAGCTGTTGTCTTCTGCGTCGTTTCGGAGTTCGTACGCTAAATCGAAGCACTCTTCGAGTAATTGCGTAACGCGTCCCTGACCATCGGGAATCTCATCTCCAACCATGAATTTTCCATCGACACGCATGTTGTCGATCGAGTTCAACTAACTGGGTATAAGCGTGGACCATGGAAATTAGGGAAGTCAGCACAAACCTTCATGCTATATGGGTATAGCTCTCTTGGTGAAGAAACACCACCAAGCTTCTTCACATCCATCAAGCACTTTTTGAGTGTTGTCAGCTGATTGTATGTGGGGAGTAGAGCTTCAGAGACAGGTTGCGACGTCAAGAGCAACTGGTAGATCAGAGCGTAGCTCTTCCGTAAAAGGTAGAGCAATGTCTAGCATAACGTCAGTGGAGTAACAAAGCAGTTGCAGATGAACCCACTCTCTGCTCATAGATCTCTGACGGCCGACCCAGGGCATCAATAAAGTTCCCGTCCACCCGCGCCTCATCGATCCGGTCGAGTTGGCGCTGGTAGTCCCAAAGATCCGTCTCACGTAATGACCAGGCCTGAGTTAGCGTGAGCTTTTCAAGCTTGTTCCGTATTGTGACAAGTTTATTGTAAACATCCTGGAAGGCTGGCGCTAGCCGCCCTTGTCTACAATCTGTTAGCCAGATGTCATTTCCTTGGAGAAGGACTGCGTACTTTGACTTGATCAAGTCTACCCACAGCAAATTTCGTCGCAGGAGGGTCGCAATCAGAGCCTTCGCATCTGGTGCAGGATCAGGCGTCTTCGCAGCAAGCTGCATTTTGTCGACCATCTCGGCAAGTTTCTCTTCCGTAGTGCCCGTCGTTTCGTATGCGAGTATGCCATACTCTTTGAGCTCCTCCTGTAGCTGCACCAACTCCCGATGGTACTCATCAACTTCCTCGTTAGGAAACTGCAGTATCATCAGTCAAACTAGCTACTCCATGAAATTTAGTACTTACCTTTGATCTAGTATTGCAACCGGCCAGTGACCGGAGTATGGACACTAGCTTCTCCCACTTTGGTGTTAGCTCTGGCGTAAGTCCTGAAAGACTGAGCTTGAGCTCTGCCATGAGCTCTTCGCAAACTTTGATACGTGCATCCAGGAGAGTGAGCAGATGCGGACTGTACTCCTCGCGTCCCCGCTCAACATATCGCCGGCAGTCCTTGATGTTGTTGTCTATAGCTTCAAGATCTTTGGATGAGTAGAACATGGCTTCTTTGAGATGGTCCAGCAGGCGTTTTATAGTGGACACACCAGAATACCTGTGATGAGAATTAGCACACCTCAAGAACAAATTCACCCTTGCTACCTACACTGCGGGTGGTTCATGGTTCTTCCCGACTGTAAGATAGGCAAGTGAGATGAGTTGAAAGCAGTCATCAAGCATGTAGTCAACTACCATAGAAGTTCAAAGTTAGCGACTTTCAGCCCTCGACCACACATAGCTCATCATACCCTTGTTCTGCTCAAGAGGCTTTGTAACCCGGATTTCATTGAGAATAATGACCTGCTCAATGACTTGATTATAGAGCTTCAAGACATCCTGGCTCTTGACATAGGTCGACCGGTCACGCTTTAGAAGTTCGAGTTCTGTCCGTATCGATTGCAACTTATCGAGAATCGGCTGTTCCTTCGGGTCCAGCGGAATCCGTGGTAAGGGTGAGTCGGTCATAATGCGCTGTAGACGTGATTGCGCAGTACCTTGGCCTACCCTGGAGGATTGTTGCGACAGGTTTCAAGCGTCGGAGAGGTATACAGCAAGTGGGATGATCAAAGTTGCCGAATGACGGTTTGGACAAGCCAAGCCAAGATAGCATGGCGGGGAAGGTGCTCGTCATGCGGCGATTCCAGAGGCCCCGCGCTAGTGGACCAAAGAGGTATAGTGCTGGCGCCGCTCGCTAAAGAAGGCACGAACAGCCTCTCTAAATTCACCAGTATAGCAAAGACACTCTACATCTCGACTCACGACAAGAATCACGATCCACGACCGTCGCAATGTCTAACTCTGAGCTCGCTACCTCCTACGCAGCCCTCATCCTCGCTGATGACGGCGTCGACATCACTGTACGATTTCCGAGCTGCCGCTGCGGGCACATTTGCTAATATCACATTTCCCAGGCCGACAAGCTTCAATCGCTCATCAAGGCCGCAAAGATCGAGGACGTCGAGCCCATCTGGACCACCCTTTTCGCTAAGGTGCGCTGAACCGAGTCAATTGGAGGTCCCTGGATATGGTTTCTGATATGTGAACAGGCTCTTGAGGGCAAAGATGTCAAGGACCTGCTCCTGAACGTCGGTTCAGGTGGCGGTGCTGCGCCCGCTGCTGGCGCCGCTGCCGGAGGTGCTGCTGCCGCTGGTGGTGACGCCGCACCTGCGGAAGAGGAGAAGGCCGAGGGTACGTTTAGTCCAGTTATTGGTCATGTCTGCACAAGTACTAAGACATCATCACAGAAAAGGAGGAGTCAGACGACGACATGGGCTTCGGTCTTTTCGACTAAGCGTCTTCTTTCGTTCCTTTCTTCGACATTTGCCTTCATCGGGGTTGCAAAACGGATCAGCGGGCATATTCCCATTGCTGGGGTGGAAATAGTCACGACTATTCGGTGACTCGGCTTGCATACGGGCCTTCCCGGAACAACAGTGACGGCGTCATGAGATATGTATAAGTTCGGCAGGTCAATGGAGTACTTCGAAAAGTGCAAAACGACGAACATGACGTGATCTACTTTTTGGGCAAATGCATTCGCAGACTGACGAACCCCCGTTATGATCCGCAATCCGACAATGTCGCTATTTTGCATTACCATTCACATGCCCCAACGGCTGTCTTTTGTGCAATTTACCGCTGCTGATATGTGTAACGAGCTTTCAGTGGCACAAAATGTAGTTTTCGCGCCCATGCATACCATACTCGTTAGAGTATCAATATGCCAGTATTCTTTTTTGGGGTATTGTAATGCCGTCGCTAATCTCTCATTTCCTCGCTTGTTGTATCTGCAGTGCAACTAACACCTCCATATTTTTCAACCAACTCTCCGCAAAGCCTCGGTCTGTGAATCGCTCAGCAGACTTCCGTGCCCGATGCCTCATCGCCAACGTCTCCTCCGGCGACAGTGTCAAAGCCTTGCGGAAGCCCTCTGCATACTCATCTTCTGTGCTTGCATGAAAGCCTTGTACTGTTAATACATCATTCGGAGTGAGACAATTCAGGGGTAGCAACTCACCGGTAGGTTTCCCTTCCACGTCCACTACAATATCCAACTTCGGTCCACCAGAGTTATTGACCACAGATATGAGGCCTGCCGCTTGGTACTCTACAACTCCGATGCCGAAATGCTCGTTCCACATGCCGTTTACGCCTACACTAGCTTTGCGCATCCACTCCAACATGAGCGGCCAAGGGGCATCGCATATGAATTCTACGTCATCTTTGATGTGCAATTCGTATGCCAGTAGTCGTAGCTCATACACACGTTTGGCATCATCGTGGGAGCCACGCACGGAGCCGATCAATACAAGCTTCGGTGCCGCGTTAGGGTAAGCGGGAAGTTTGGCATTTGACTGCAAGAAGGACGCGAATGCTTTCAGGATCAAAGTATGGTTCTTCTCTGGTCTGAACTGCGCAATGTACAGCAAGTAAGGACCACGCTTCTTCTCGCTATCTTCAGAGACCTGGACAGCTTCTGCAACTTCTTCGACTGCGACGGGTGGGAAAACGACACTAATTTCCTTTGCTTTGCCGTTACGGTAGGGTTCCCAGAGCAATTTGATGTGGCCTTGCGTCCATGTAGAATTGGTCATGACCACATCAATAGAACTGCCCACCCTGCTGTACAGTTGCGCGAATAACTGCCAGTACTTTTTCTTGGCTGCGCCTCGGTGTCCAACTCCTGTTCCTGCGTTGACGCCTTGACCACCAACTTGCAGTGAGTCGAGCATATCGGTCGAGATTGTGGGGTAGTGAACATAAGCACCTGTTGGCACGGTGGGGAAGAGTACAGATGAAAGACCGAGGGCGAATGCGTAGCCCATTGTGTCAATGAATATGTCTGGTACGAGCAGTGTGAACGCATCAAAGGCGAGGACCAGAGAGCCCAGAGACTGTCCCAAGAGGGTGAAGCGTGGCCATGTGCTTGCCAGCACCCAGTTGCGTGTGGAGAGGTAGAGGAAGTGGACGGTCGGTGGATAAAGATGGATGTTGAAGCGATCTTTCACACGCTTGAGTATGGTGGTCTTGTCAACGTCGTGGTCGCCTGTGTAGACTACGCATATGGCTTTCGGCCAACGTTTCTGAGTCGCTCGAATGGCGGCCCATAGGACGCGTTCACCTCCGCCACCCGCATTGCTAAGAGCTCGTGATCAGCGGTCTATGTATCTAATCCAAGATTCCCTCCTCGTACCAGAACGGGTGAAAGAAGCCGACGATGCCATCCCAGTCGTTGTTTACTTTTCTGTTGTCCACCGAGCCAGGTTCCGTTGTTCCCACTTGCTCCCATTCGTCATGTTCACCATTTTGATCCTCGTCTTCTGCCTTGTGCCTCCTAACCTCATTTGTGACTCTGGCCAGGAGCAATTCGCGTCTCGTGTGGGAGTTTCGGCGGAGGTGTTGGCCCAAGAACTGTGCGAGTGCGCGTAGGATCTTTGGTAGGAGGGCGATAGAAATAAGTACAGAGACCAGAAACGAGAGTAGAATGAACAGGAGCGCCATAACGGTCGCGGGTATCACAGGAAAGGAGACAGCGATGGAACTGCGGTGAGCGAGTGCAATATCAATGTCCCTAGGCCAGCTGGCCTGGTGGGATGACGGTGCCTGGCGCCGGGCCGAAAAACGTGGGACCCTGGCTGAGCAGGTGGTCTGTTCTCCGCCGGAAGTCCGATGTGGGTGACTCGTGAGGACGATGCGCTCAACACCAAAAAAACATTCCACGATGCTGTATCCGAGGCTATTGCGGCTGCCCACCCGCCAATTGGATGCTAGAAGCTCTTTTCTATCCCGTACTCTATCATGCCGCCCACCAAGACGCGCTTTTCATGCCTCGACCGCACAACAAGGTCCCGGGCTCGACACGCTACTTTACCTGCCTCATGAAATCATGTCCCTCATCCACGCTAACGTACCATGGTATGCCGCCATACCCCTCACCGCTTTCATTGTACGAGGCGCCCTCGTCACTACAGCCGGCGCATACGTGCGGTCCCGCGCAGCACGTAACGCCGGCCTTCATCCACTAAGACAAGCCCTTGCCTTCCAGGTACGAGACGAGACACTCAAAAGACGTAACTTCCGAACACCAAAGGAAGCAATGGCGCATGTGAAGACAGAAGTGAAAAAAACGACAAGACAGCTAGACGAAAGGTGGAAACCGGGTTCAATCAAGGCGTCGATATGGTGGACGGCGGTGCAACTGCCTGTCTTTTTTGCCATGGCAGAAGCCATCAGGCAGAAGTGTGGAGCCAGAGATGGCTTGTTAGGGCTGGGGGCCTCGTTGGTTCACGGTGTTCGTGATCGTCTTGCTGGGTTGCAACAGCACTTTTTCGGAATCGAGGACGCTGGGGCTGGTCCTATGGAATCTGCTGTTCATTCAACGTCCGAAGTTGATGCGTTGGATGACGCATTTGAATCTGGAGTCGACAGTATTGCTGCGCGCCCTATTCTTGAAGATGGTAAACCTGCTGCCACATCTACTTCTGACGTGAGCGAACTTGACATCAATCCAAGTCAGTGGTTCGATCCATCACTTGCGAACGAGGGTATGCTGTGGTTTCAGGACCTCGTCATCCCAGACCCTACTGGCATACTGCCTTTCGTGGTTTCTGGGCTCATGTTCTGCAATATCTACTTCACTAAGAACGTTAATCCCGTCGGCCCCAACTGGCAGACGGCACTGCGGAGATTGTTACTCTCCGTCAGCCTTCTTGTAGGACCTTTTTGTCAGGATTTACCGGCCGCTTTGATGCTTTACTGGGCTTCTAGTACGTCATCTGTCATTGTATGGAACTGGTGGCTCGACTGGAAATATCCGTCCCCGAGCGGGCACACTGCTTGTAAGAGGAAACTGATTATGCCACCGGCCCTGGTGCGTAAAAGTCGAAGAGTGTAGAAATCTGCGCATGACAGACAACATATGTCAGAAAACTTGCTCAGATCCTGAAGACACTATTTGAGACGTCTATCCATTGTGATGGCGATTAAATCAACCATACATTCAGTACAGTTACCACATGAGGTACAGAGTCTCATGACCGCTCTCTCAGACACAGTGTTTCAGAGCCATCGCTTCTAGGGGGGGGGGGGTTGGAACCGAGCAAGTTCGACACTCTTATCAGTTTGTGAGACATCGTAGTGTGATAAAGGTGATCACCTTTTTGCATTACGTTCCGTTTCATATCAGATTCTCACAGCGTCCACAATCTCAGTAAACCACATATCCTGGAAACGACGCAAAACCGAAACCCCCCCCCAAAGAATGTTAGCTCAAACCCGCTCACCGCAATTTCGCAGAGACAGCAGTGCTTCTTCAGAGCTAAGCCAACCTTCTCCTAGTCTAGAAGCTCGCATTCAGGGTGATTTACTCGAGCAAGCATGCTTCAGACAGCAACGGACCATGACTGCCGATAGCGAGATGGTTGATCACTATAATGGGACGTGAACTATTGGAAGTGCTCATTTATCGCAACTTGAACTAGCACCTACAAGATGAGATTCATACTACTATTGAGCCCACGCTCAATGAAAAAGTTGAAGATACTTTTGACGAAGAAACTGGACCATCCCTGCGAACCAGGAGGTGGCGTTCCCGCGATATGGAGGCTGCCCTTGGTTTGACAACTGCCCAAGGCCGCGAATTCCATGAGGTCGTCCGAGACGAGCTGAGGAACGTTGGCCTCCTTGGTACTGTGGAGAGTTCATGCGCCATGCCTGAGTATCAGGAGGGACTTCGGCAGGTGGTTACTGCCACGAAGGCCCGTGTAGAGTACCTGCAGGCTCTCAATATGCACACCGCACGGCTTGATGAATTAATATTGGCACGAGCTCGGGTCAATAACGACAATGAGAAGCATAACGAGCGGCTAGTTAGGAGTGGAAGGGTACACGCACGTGCGGGTACGCCCAGACCTGCTATACAGACTTCTCCTGCTGTTGAACTAAGCAATGGGTCATTGCAACAGCCTGTAGACAAAGCCGATAACCCTCTCGCAAGGAGTACTACAGCCGTTTCACGGAGTGGCAGCGTTGCTAACGCTCACCCCTCATTCATTACCGAAACCACAAACAGCGTAAGCTCCACTGAGCAATCCAGCGACACCATCGAAGAGAGCAGCCTTATTCCCAGCATGGCGCTCGTCTCCGTACCTGCACCTGATTCTACCCGTCTTGCTAGTCCAGCACCCATATTGGATCCCTCCTCCACCTCCCACCCCACCGTCTTCCTCATCCGCATGACCCACTCCCCCAACGGCGTCGCTATCCACACATCGCAGCTCGCCCCTACCGCCCGACGCGAATCCAGCGCCGTCCTCGAGCTCCCTGACATGAATTACGCGACATTTCTGGACATGATCAGCAGCCAGGTTGGCTTCAGAGTGGACAGTCGGATCGAGGCTGTCATACCGAGTGATATTGGCACGGCCATGTTGAAGAAAGATGCTTTTGTGAGAATACAGGGGAATCAAACGTGGATGGCTGTGCTTCAGACGTGGACAAATGCTAGGAGGAAGACTTGTGAGTTTCTTGTTGATCGTGCGGTAGAGGCCTAATGGTATGGCTAGTGTGTAAGCCGGGAGGGCGGGGTAGACTGAGAGACGAAACATATGGCTGTGGAGTTGGCGTTGATAGATAGGTCAATCTTGGTCTTGTTTAATATCAATTTGATTCTGTACAAGATTGCTTCCACTACAGTAAAAAATTGTTTACTGTAGAATGGTACGCTAGGGGTTTACTATATAGGTGTAAACTAACCTCGTGTATACCTGTAAATAGGTTTAAAGTAGTGGTTTACTTTTTTATAGTATAAATATAGTGTGGTTTACTATAGACCTATTAGTAGAGTAAATAAGGTAGTTTATAATAGACCTATTAGTAGAGTATATAAAGTAGTTTATAAAAGATAAAATATAAGTGTTAGGTATAGTAATAATAGTATTAGATTTTTTTTAGTATCCTTATATAAACTACTAGTATATTATTACCTATCCTATCCCTAGGCCTAACCTACCTAATTAATAGCCTATACCCGCCTAATTAACAGGCCTAAAACTGCCTAATTATTAGCCTATACCTATATAATAATTAGCCTATACCTACGTAATTATAAGGCTGTCTACTATATACCTTACTTATTTTTAGAAAACTGTAGTATAATATAAATTAAATAGGTATACAAGTAGTATAACTGCGTAGTAATTAGTGTAAGTTAGTATATCTAATAATAGTCTAGCGTAATATATAGATAATATACTTACCTAGAAAATACTAGTATATTATATAGTAATAGTATTAGTATAAAGAGCCTAGTACTATAAAGCTAGATATAGACCTATTATCTTACTTAACTATAGGTAGTTAGTCTTAGACTATCTATATTTATTAATAATATATAGCTTATTACTAGGTTAAAGTTAAGCGCTATATCTATAGTAAACTATAGCTACTCCTATAAGGTTAATAATTATTATTATTTAAATCTATTTAATGCTATTATTATCTTCTATTATCCTCTAAGGTTAGGCTAGTTAGCCTATAGTAGTAGTAGGTTATATCTATTACTATTAAAGTACTCCTACCTATTTAGAGTTATTAGCTAGATCTTAAAATAGGTGTATTACTATCCTAAAGGAGAGCTAAATATAGTTATTATAATTATTTCTAGCAGCATAATATATAATAAATGTAGTGCTCTAAGGGTAGTTACTATCTTTATAATTCCTTAAAACCCTAATAGTATACCTATTTAGAAGTATATAATAGTTATATATAACTATATCCTAGGCGCGTGTCTATATAGCATGTACTATAGTTATAATTATAGTATAAGTGTTATCTAGGATATATCCCTAGTGCGTATCTATACTACTATAAGACTTAGATTTTAGATAGTACTCTTATAGCTAAGTTATAATTATATTTTTATTAATATTATACTCTATACTAAGCCTAAGCTATTATATATAGATAATACGCTTATATACTAGTATATTCTACTCTAAACTAATATACTTCTAGGAAGGAGAAGTTGCTATCTTCTTAATATAACTAATAAGTCTCTCTAAAGACTATTAGGTATAGTATATAGGTAGTCTAAAATCCCTAGTATTAGATATAAGGTAGAGTAGGTAATAGATCTAAATAGAGTAAGATAGTAACTAGTCTACTTTACTATAGTAGTAGAGTAACTTATACTAGTAAATAAAATTCTCTACTAATAGTTCTAACTTATTAATCTAATTAATAGTAAACTCCCTTTAGCTTATATAGAAGAGTAGTTTATAGTAGTATAGGAAGTTATTAGTATATTCCTTCTAAAGATAGACCTATATAGCTAGCGCTCTATAAGTAAGTATAAAAGTCTACTATTTAAATAAAGTCTATATCTTATATATTATAGTGCTTTATAGGGTAGTACTAACTTAGGTTAGTACTAAGGAATAGGACTTATAAAGACCTTTATTAATTAAAGCCTAATTAGCGTTAGTAATAAGCTATAGTATAGTCTTGTTATTAAATTTATCCCCTTTCTAGAGTTAGAATAAGGCTTTAGGTATATTATAGGATATTACATGTATAATATTAATAGAAAAGCTATAAGGAAAGTGTATAGTAGGGAGGTCTAATAGGATAGAGTAGTAGTTAATACTAGTATCTTAGCGTAAGGTAGTATATCTAAAGGCTAGTGTGGAAATTTGGATTACTAAGGTTAGGAATAATTTAGGAGATAGATTATTAGATTGTATCTACTACGATTGTACTTATATATATAGAGCTTTAGCTACCCTTACTAGAAGGTGAATAATTAGTAAACCTTCCTTACTAGAGCTCCTGCTTTTTATTAGGCACTTAGCAGTAAGCTAGCAGTTAATTAGATAGTGGGTTATATAGGGGTATTAATTAGGATTAATTAGGATTAATTAGGATTAAGATACTCTATAATCTAGTTAATATCCCTCCTGCAACACACCCCCTAGGTGTAGGTAGATCTTTTATTATTATAGTTGCGCTTATAGTTAGTAGGTAGTGTAGCTAATTAGAGCGTTATATATCTAAAGGGTTAAATTAGCTTACCCCTTAGATACTAACTAGCGCGCCTTCCTTATTTAGCCTGCGCTTACGCGCGTAGATATTATCTAGATAGAGCTCTATAACTCTATCTACCTAACTATAATCTTTACTATAGCTTAAGTTATAAGATTATCTAACCCTAAAGATCTAAACTATACCTATATCCCTACTAACCTATCTTAGTTAAAGTTAAAACCTGCTACTTATACTTACTCTACCTATACTACCCTTATTACCTCCTGCGTAGCTAAAGCTATAGTTACTAAAGCTACTACTACTAAAGAAGAGCGCGCTACTACTAAGCGTAAGGCAATAGTAGAGTGTGCAGTAGCTAAGTATATAGCTACTGCTACTATAGCTAAGATTATAAAGCTAAGGAAGGGTGCTCCTGCTCTAGCTCCTACTACTCTAGCTCTAACTCTAACTCTAGCTCCTGCTCCTCCCTAGACCCCTCCTAAGGCCCCTGCTCCCGCTCCTACTCCCTCTCTAGCTCCTAAGGAGACCCTAAGATCCTCCTGCTATAGAGAGCCTAGCATTTATTATACTAAAACTTATCTAAATTATCTACGCTTAGCGCTCTTTAATAAGTCTAATAGCAAGTGCTATAACTCTTCTAGTAGGGGGACTTAGTACTAGTAGTGCTCCTCTAGGTATAGCTGTGTCCTAATATATATAATCTATATAAGAATTTTTCCTTTATAATACTTAGTAAGATCTTATACTAATAAACTAATAGCCCTAAGCTTGCCTAATACTCTATGCTATCCTTCCTAGTAAGGAAGTAGGTAGGTAAGAGCTAAGACCTTCTTAAGAATAAGAAGAGGAGGGTCTTAGTGCTCCTTAAGGAGAGTAAGGCTAAGTAGCAGGAGCTAGTAAAAGCTACTACTGCTGCTGCTAAGCTTGCGCGCAAGGCTACTTCTATAGCTAAGGGCGCCTAGAGCTCCTTATTAGAAGATAAGGACTTTAGCTCCTCTAAGGTTCCCCCTATAGATCCTAGAATAGGGTAACCTAGGTAGCTCCCTATAGACTCTAAGGCACGCTTTACGCGCGTAATAGAGCTCCTTAGGGAAGCTACCTAGTTAATAATAGAGAGGTAGGCTATAGTTAGTTATTTTTATATTATATATTAATAGATCTTATATACTACCTTACTTTAATTAATACTATATAATATATACTCTACTATTATATAACTTTAGGTGCTCCCTAAACCTTATAAATTATTATATAGTTAGGTTTTTAGTAAGCCTATTAGCTAGTATATTACTAGTAGGTAGGTAGGTAATATAGAAAGATCCCTTTATATACTCTTGCCTAAGCCACATGTTTTAAATATCTACATAGCGTAGCTTAGTAGTGATCCTTTTATTATTGCCTACTACTAACCTAATAGTTTATTAATTATTATAATTAATTATCTAGGTAGTATCTAAAGTAAGGTGTATTTTAGTTAAAAAATATTTTAACACTATTGCTTCTTTACTTACTTGCTTAAGCGCAAGGAGCTCTACCTTAGTAGTTAAAGTAGTAATAGTTAATTATTAAGCTACCTTCTAAATAATAGGTCCTCTAAAGAGCGTGATTAGGTATCTATGTAATAATTGCTAAGTATTAATATTATTAGTAAATAACGTATTACTATATATTATAAGCTTATGTAGGATCCCTATTCCTATATTAGATTAATTAGTATTAAGTTTAGTATAGATAGATAATTACTTAATTAACTGTATTAAAGTGTTATTTAGATAGGTTAGTAAGGTATTAGGAGAGCTAGGAGGCTATATAGGCAATATTAGGGCGCACTATAATTAAGGTGTAAAGGATTAATCTAACGCGCTCCTAATAGTCCTTAATCTCCTTTTTAGTAGCTTCTCTAGTGCTCTTTTTAATATCTTTACTTAATAGTAGTATAGTAGGGAATTTTCCTATCTCTGCTAGATTAAATTTCTTTATAATCTTGTTAATGTATTTATTATAAACAAGCGTTATTATCTGTCTCTTTCTATCCTAGATTACTCTTACCCCTAGAAACTAGCTTACAGGTCCCTTCTCTTCTATAGTATATCTTTGCTTTAGAGCTTGGATAACTTTGTAAGCTTAGCTTGCGTAGTTTTAGTAATAGAGCGATAGGATATTGTCTATATAGAATATTAACAAGATACTGCAATCTCTATTAAAGAATAGGCATAGCTCCTCTTTAGAAGTAATAAGCTTATTTTCTTAGAGTGTAGTTAAGAGCTTATTATACTATAATAATAGTAAGTCTTTTAATCTATATAGAGCTTGTTTAAGCTTAACGCACTTCCTAGGTATTTAATATCCTTTAGGTAGCTTGTAGATAACTATAGGGTATTAATCCCTTAAGGCGTTAAGGAAAGCTCTAACAACGTTATATTAATATATCTTAAGGTTAAACTTAGCTCTAATAGCTATTATAGTCCTAAAGGTTCAAGCTACTAGGGTAGCTGCGTAGGTTAAA